CCCAAACCATTCTATGATTCTGTGATATATTTAAGTAATCTGCCTGTTAACGACTTCTTCTTTTGAGAAATTGCCATAAAATAGACAATTCATAGCCATGCTACTTAAAGACATTTCCCAGTTTGTTTTTGAAGGTGCAATGGGCTGCTTCTTCTTATGTAGTTTTATTGTTGCAGATACATCAAAATAACATCAGGTCTGAATTCAGGCCACCATTCTAAAAGAATAAAGCTCATGAGAAAATAGTGAAAAAGGGTCAGAGTGCTTAACTTTCTACCTGCAGAGTGCAAAAGAGGACTCTCAGAGAACTGAGACAACTCTTGGCACTGCATCTTTCCTTTCAGTGAGCTACAGTGAGGAGGGTGAACCAGTTCACGAAGAGAATAAAGTTACTGGACTTCTTACCTTTTTCTCTGGTAAACATTTTCTCAGCTTCTGGAATCAGGAAATTATAAACCAGCTCTGCTACAATCTCTTCTGACTGTAGGCGTGTTCGACTACAGAACAGATGCAGTGGTATTAGTATTTTAATTTTCTTTCCAGATCACTTCTGCAAACACAAAACTCCTTTGTAAGTATTCTCACTATTTTCAAGGAAGTGTATTGTCATGGCAGTAACTGTCAGCTGGGCCTCTCTTTATCCTACAAACAGGTGACAGTGTGACAATTCCCCTTTGCACTGCACTGCCAGTGTATTCAATACTGCATTGGAAAGCAGTATTTCCAGGGAGAAGCTCACCCGAGACTCCTCATCCTCCAAAGTATTTAGGAGCCCAGTTCTCACTGATGACCAACTGAGTTAGACACGCAGATACCTCTGAGGATTTGCATCTTTGTCAATTTAGTCTTTGTCCCATTGCTGAGTTTGCTAAATTCTTCCCTTTTGTGACTCCGCATTTGGCTGGTCCCCATGCTCTTTTCCATGCCAGTGTTTGGTGGGTTCCCAATTGGCCGAGGGGCTGCATGCATTATCTACGCTTCATTCTCCCCAAGGATTTCAACATTCTGGTTGTATTCATCTAGTTACAAAATACACAGCTGCTGTACCATAGGAGAGTCACTGTGTCATTGGGATTTTTATGGCTCAATTCCAAAAAAAAACCCCGAGCATAGAAACTGAACTGGAGATTTGGCAGGTCCTAAAAGTATTCACTGCTGATGCCCCAGCGAAACACAAGACTGTGGTGTTCTCAACAACTTACTCTACTCAAAGTGCCTTGTCAGGCAGCCATCAATACGACTGACCCCCATGGAAATTGGCAGTTTCTTAAAGAACAGCCACCCCAGAATGAAAGACTGCTGTATAGCTGTATCTTTTAGCATCTCTTTCAAACCGATTTTCTGTAGTAGTGTAAATAAATGAAAAGACCAGTATGAATGGGTATTGCTTTAGGCAGTTCCCAGATTCACTTAAAGCTCAATCACAGCATTACATTGGCATGGAGAATTCTAAAAAGGGTGATTCACAGATCCCACAAGTGATTTGCAAACGGAATCTGGCACATGCTGTATAGAAATAAGCTCTGATAGATTTATATGTGTGTACCAGGTAGTAACAGTGTAGTTCCCATACAGCAGGCACACTAATGAAGCGATTGTGAACAGTATTGCTCTGCCCTTCCCATGTCTTAGATTCTACGTGTAACCACAGATGCAGATGGTCAGGCAGGTTCTAAACTGCTCTAAACAGCCTCTAATGTGCCATTTAATAACGTACCGACTTTCCATTTCGTAAGCAATGTCATTGATTTCTACAGCCATTCTCTGAATCTCTTCCCTGGCTTGTTCTTCAGCTGTGTTCTCCATGCTACTCAGGATTACGTCTTCCAAGTAGGATTCAATAGTGCTCTGGTGCACTTTCACCACCTGGAACAAAACACCAAGCTATTGTTTCTTTGCCTATTGCTGTGCCAGCAGTGTGGTGGAAACACATTTCCAAAGAAGCAAGAACAACAGACCAGACTTAATTTCAGGCAGGACAGCCTGTGATTTGGTTTCAGAGGGGCTTTCTGGGAAGAGTAACTTGTGTAAAAAAATATTTTCTAATAATGCTTTCTGAGAACTAATTGAACAGAAACAAGTGCAGGAAAGAACTGGTGGTGAAAGAAAAACTTATCCTCAGATCCAGTTCTGCTGCAAGAGGTTACTTCTGTGAATGCAATGGCAGTTGCTCCTCAGTACTCATGGTCCCCTGAGCAAGAACTGCCAAATAATAATAATCAGTATTGGCTTTAGTAATTAATCTGCTTTGATTCAAGCAAAAGAAAAGGTTCCATCAAGCCAACCAAAGTAACATTAATAAAACCAAGACAGAATTATTGGTTTCCTTATAATGGCTGTAGAGCAGAGATTCTAGAAATGGGTCTTTTCCTTCTGCTAGTCTGAGGGCATAAGTTTATGGCACTTCAATCCTCCTTGCTTCCCACTCAGAGACACAGAAAAGATAAGAGGAGAAGCTAATATTAAAAGAAAAATAAACATGATGCCAGACTCCCTTGGTATTAATTTCCTCCCACAAAGTTTAAAAATTATTGGTTTAATCAATTAGGTTCCCACTCATTCCTTTCAGCTGTGAGAAATATGATTGTCTGCAGTCAGGAGCTAGGGAACGGGAGTATAGAATATGCTAATTCAGGATTTTTGTTTCTGGATTTCAAGATTATGATATCCATTATCATTACTTCAAAATAATTTTTGTACCTCTTGTTATTTGCAGTCCACTTTTGGGGCACAAAGTCTTTCCAAAACCTTGCTTGAAGGCATCCTTCCTGGGAAAGCACCTAATAGCTCTACTGAACAAGCCTGAAGATGATCTAGGTACATCTGTTCTCCATAGGTGTTTGTTGTGGAAATTTAGAAACCTACATTCATTCATGATATATCTAACAGGATTGTCTGTAGGGGTTTTCAGATCATCCTTAATTTAATGGGCATGACTCTCTTAGGAAGGAGTCACCTTCTCTTCACTAAGCCCTCCCCCTCACTTTTAAAACTAGCTATCACCAAAGTCAGAGCTGAAGCACCTCCCTTCCATCTGGACCTTCCCACAAGGAGGCGGTTCTTACAAACCACCCACTGTCCCACCAGTCTCCCTCTCTTGCCTGTTTGAAAATCTCATCTTCTTCCTGACGCCGCCTCTCTTCCACCTGACGGCGTCCATGCTCCTCTGCTTCCCGCATCCGCCTCTGCATCTCAGCCAGCATGATGAAGGCGTGGTTTTTTCGCTCTTCCTGCATCCTCACCAGCTCTTTGGAGAGGAAATCAAACATGTTCGCCAGTACCCTTCCTTCTTCCCTGGCCAAGTGGCTTTCCATCAATGACAGCTTTAAAAAAAAAACCCAAAGAATTGTGTTACAAATCCCAGGAATGCTGTTTGAACTCCCAGCAGTACCACAGGCATGTGAAACAGCTCTGCAACATCCACTCAGACCAGCCATGGGACAACCCTAGGAGTTTTGCATTCTTGCTCTACATGTGCTGGGCTGGATTCTGCATAATGTAAATTCCTGTATACAGATTCTGAGGGCATAAAGAGGCTAAAAGATGGAAGATGGCAAAACCAGTCAGTGCAGGAACAGTCCCAATCCTGTTACACTAGGACAAGCAGCCCTACGCTTGGGTGGGTGGGAGGCGATAAAGCACTAGAGGTGCTGTATTCCAGCTATTAGGAACCACAGCTTTGAGTGTAATTGGAATAGTTGCTGAGGGCATTTGCTTGTTACTGGGGAATGCACCACTGCCTGGATCAAGAAAGGGGAGGTATAAAACTGACGATGAAATTACTTCAGCTGCATGCTTTCCATCTTTCTGTGCTAAGCTTAGCTAGACCAGAACAGAAAAAAAAGGATCAAAAGTTGTGAAAGAAGCTTCTCTCTAGCATTTGGAAAGTAAACAATTTTTATGAGAAGGAAGCTTGAGTAAAGGCTTAGGAAACTGAAGCTGTGAGTACAGCCACATTTCTATCCTCTCCTAAGGATATTAAATGTCTGTTACAGTTCAAAGCCACCTCGGTCTTTGCTTGGACATTCATGATGCAACCAAAGTGATACAACTTGCTGAGGTAATAAGGCAACTATGAGTCCCTACAGTTTTATGTATTGAGTTATTACTTAAAACTACAAGTTACTAACTGCTAACAAATTTAGATCAACAGTAATTGAGTCTGCAGAATTGCAAATGAGACCTCAAAATTCCAGGTTATGGAAAATCAGAAAGTCTGTGACAGAGCTGAGGCTAGATTCCAGTGTTACTGTGCCATTTACTCGTTGCTCCAAGCACATCATGTATTATGGGTTGGGTATGTGTAACTGCACTTCAGAAAGGGACAAGACCTATGGTAAGTTCATCATCTTCAGTATGGACTATGAAGCCACAGTCCTTGGCAGGAGGGAATGTCTGGAGCTGGCTGGGATGCTGTGTCTCTGTTGGAATAAACAAGTGCTAACAGAGTAGACCTGAACATAAAACTCAAAATGGAGCTGAAATATCCCAGACAAGTAGTAATAAATCAGCTTGCTTATACTGCTGTGCCAGCTGCTGATGCAGTGTTTCAAAGAAAGTGGCATTGTCAGTGCTGCACACATCTAGAAGTGACAGTGCTTAGCCCGTGGTAAGATGGAGGATGACAATGCAGTAACTTCAGCGCTCCACAGGGAGGGATAACATGGAACTAACATGCTGCTTTCTCTTCATTGCTCCAGGTGCTGTGTCTAAAACCAGTGTGAAACAGAGGAAAGCAACCCAGAAACATTCTTATCTTAGACTTTTGTTATATACCAGGTCAGAAATTTTCAATCCCTCCTCTTTGCCCATTTTATCTGGAGTTTCTATCTTCTTTCTGGAGAAGGCATTTATTGAAAAATACTTATTTTTATACTGAGAAGGTCAAAAACCTGAAAAAAAACCCCCTATGACCACCAAAAACTAAAGAACTGTGAGTCATCAGTGACTGTCTAAAATAGCCACAAACACAGAAAACTCATGCACATGCACTCCGGAGCGTTTTAAAGCTCAATATGTTTGAAGACCCGAGGCTTGGACTGTGTGCCTTCAGAAACATAGTAAAAAACCCTCAAGAGTAAAGGAGATAGATACCAGCAGAGGGGGATAGTGGCTCTCCCAAAAGGAAATTCTGAGATCAGAGGTCAGCATCATTACCATTTGCTCTCTCTCCTTCTCTATGAATGTCATATGGTGTCTGAACTGCTCTCTCCTTCACTATCAACTGGGCTTCCAGAAAAGAAGGAGCATTTCAAGTTCCTGATGCCTAAGGCTTTTATTTTTCTCTTACTTCCTCAGCAGAAAAATTCTGTATTCCTGCATTCCACACCTGGGCTCCCTGTGTATGAAGGAGCATCTGGAAATGATAAACAGTGAAATACAGTCACCTGGTTCAATTTTGACTGAGATCTGAGGGGAAATTTTGTTGCTGCCCACCCAGCAGGAAGCAGTGGTCTGGCTTCATCTCTGCCAGGCCAGGTCAGCCTGCCAGCAGATGCTGTTATCATCATCTGGAACCTGCAGATTTACCTCACAGCAGGTCACTGAAAAAACAGGAGTAGTAAAAACTACAGGAAAATCTGCAGAAATATGGGAGATACTGTATAACTGAGGTGCAGTGAAGCCTGGACAAAATTTCTTTAGGATCCATTTCAGACCAACATCTGCCATTTGATTCATTTTGCTCTGGAAGGTTGCAGCCCTGCAAGGAAATAGGCTGGGAATTTGCATCCCCAGCTCTCAGGAGATCCTTGGCAGAGATTGGAGCCCAAAATTTTTCTGCTCTCCATAACAGTGGCAAGTAACAATGAGACACTATTGCTAAGGTCCTAGAAATCTCGAGCCCAGCAAGATTTACAAGGTAAGTCTGCTTTGGCTTCTTTTGTGATACTTTATGCCTGAGTGGGTGCCAAGCTAGAAAAGGAACAGGGAAATGACAGAGCAGTAACACACGTTCAGTAAAGTATCAGACAGATGTGAGTGACAAGCATGTATTGTGATGCCAGGTCACAGCACCAGTCAAATGGATTGAAATGTGGGAAAATTGAGGTTTGTCTGACAGTGCAGTTTGTTCAAAGCCCTGTAAATATAAGTAAGTGCTCTGTCTGCAAAGCAAATGCAGCCTGGGTAGCAGTTGCGGTCAGGGCACCTCAGTCTGTTTCTGAGATTCCCCAGAGCCCCCACAGCAGTGAGAGCAATTTTAGCAATCGAATGCTTGGCCTCTGCTAGGCGAGCTTTTTTGTTACTTGGGGTGCTTTCTGTGCTGTGGATAATAGAAAACATAAAGAAATTAAATGCAAGAGTGTTGGGGGTACTGCAAGCACAGACAGGTCACCACAGTGTCATGAATCAGCCTTCCCATCTATAGAGGCAAACCTTGTGCATTTGCAAGTCCTGCTGTTGCTGTAGGGCCCGTGTCAGTTGCTCCTCTGCCTTCAAAAGCAGCCGTCTGTCCTCCTGGAGCGCATGAGTGGAGCGCAGCTCTCGGATCAGCTCCAGCCGCTTCTCCTTCTCTTCAAACATCTTTAAAATAAACAACCAAGCATATTAAATGGAGAATATAGATCAACGTGTTTTGACAGAGCACACCCTTTTTCTCTAAGTTGCAGGGTCAGCTGTTTCCAAGACCTAGTTCTCTGTAAGAAATTTGTGGCCACAGTTAGGCAAACACTGCTGCTGTCAGGTAAATCTTGCCTAAACCCTTCTGCATGGAAGACTGAAGGTCTGCTGTGGAGTATATATGATCCATTGCTCCTTTATTATAAAGTTTTTTTCTTTTTCTAAATTCTATTTGACTTCACCCAAAACTCAAACCACTGGAATGCAGAACTGTAACAACAATGTCAAGCAAAAAGGGAAAGACCCTTCTGGATATTGTTATAGCAGCCTCAATGTCAAAGCTTCCCAGTGTGAGCATTACCCCTTTTCCTCAGTCCTAGGCTAGATGTCTCCTGTTTCAACATCTGCTGTTCTCTGATCTTTGTTTTGAGGGAGTCCAGCAACAGCTCAAAGCAATAAATTGGTGGGGAGGCTGGTGCAACTGGTGCTGTCCCTGTTATGGGGTTGTGGCCCACCCCTTGCCTGACACAATCTTTTCATTTCCCCTCTCTTCCAATAGGACTTCCAAAAGCAACAAAGGATCATTCAACCCTGCTCACATCATTGTCCAACGGAGTCAGATATTTCTGATCCAGTAGTAGCTGGATGGAGATTCCTAAGAATTATGGGACATTTCATGGTGTGAAAGTCAACAATCCTGCAATGGCATCAAACATCCTTCTCATAGATTACCACAGAAGTGGAGAAGACTTGGGTAGTCTATATTCCCCCTCAAACCACTTTCACAGTATTGCATTGTTTGCTAAAGATCAGGCCAGAGTCCCACATGGGAACAATTCACAAACATTTAAAAATTAGTGCAAGAGAGAGTATCAATAGTCCAGAAAGAAGCAGCAGGCAAGAAAACAAACCCTCTGGACTGGTCTGACCAAAAGTGACAGACGTGCTTAATATAAAGCCCACGGGTCGTGGCTACTTAATTTTTACCTAGACCCGCTTCTACTTCACTGAAAGCAGAATGAAGGGTCCTGTACTTGCTGAAAATCATGGAGGCATGTTTCAACTGCTCCTTATCTAAGGTTTAGGTCACCATCACAGGAAACTGGAAAGATGGTATGAAATACAAGCTGTCCTGCTGGGATGTGGGAGGTTTCTTATGCCTGGGATCTTGGCATAATCAAGGCAAAATGTACTCATGGTCCAGATCTAATCTAGAATTTGCCATTTCAGTAATTCTGCTATGAAGCATCTAATTAAACAGCTGAGTGTAGGGGACGGCAGGAACAAGGAGACATCCACAGATGTGTGTAGGAACCTAGAAATTCCTGTAAGAAATTTGGGCTGGAGAGCAAAGAGGGACTTGAAGCCTTGAAGGACTTCAGGTCACATACAGGAGGTTATACTGCAGAAGCCTCATTACCCTTGTTTAGTGCTGTGGGAGAAAGATTGCAAACACACCCTCAATCATTCCCATCGTTCTGAAGAGAGAGAGAAAAAAAGAAACACAGAATACCATGTTCTGAATAGCCCTGCCACGGAGCAACTTCTGCAGACAGATCACTGCCAGCTCTGTTTCCTCTTCCTCCTGTCGGAACACAGCAAATATCCACACAATAATTAATTATTTCTTTGGAGACTGAGATTTCTGTAGATTACCTGTGTAACTTTCAAAAGGTCTAACTCATATCCAGCTTTTCCTCTGTTGTTTCTGAACGCTGTTCTACTTTCTAGGGAAAGGAAGGTCAGTCAGACTAATACATACTTCTGTGTTTTACAAGAGATGGGGACAAAGGCTTTATAATTAGATTCTATTTGAGATTTTAGGGGGTCTTTGAGAGGAGTATGTAATGGGAAGATACTGATGGAGAAAATTACTGTAGGCATCAGAAGTACTATTTGTAGCTTGACTGAAACTGAGTTTTCAAAATGAGCATCTGCTACATGAATTTAACAGGTCAAAACACTAAGGGGATACAATTATTATTGAAGGAGGTGCAAGAGAGCTGTTAACCATAAATAAAGATATTAAATTAAAAGGTAATATGTACAATTTTTCTTTATTTATATTTATTCCATTGGTGACCTTTATCAGAGTAACACAGTAAATTTAAGCCTCAGAAAGTTATACTTTGGAAATAAAATTAATTACATTATATTGTGATTTGTCTCTTTGAAAACTTTACTGGCCTAGCATTGCATGACTGTTATCAACTTGGAAGAATGATGCAGTGTAGTGGGAAGGGGAACGTGGCCATAGGAGTTGAAAAAAAAACCCCACAAAAACCAAGGCTTATTTTAACTGGAGGAAGTGCAACTGGCAGCACTTTTTCTTGCTGAGGGATCTTCTAGTCTGAAGTCAACAGCAAGAGAAGGAAAAAGCTCATTGGGTGCCTAGGAATGATAAAAGGAAATCTAAAAATTACAAGGAAGGTTTTTTAAATAAAAATCCTATCAGGTCTGCATTAAAATGTGGTATTTTAGAAGTGCTGGAAAAACAGGGAAGAGTGTAGGATGAGAGAAGTGGTGTGGGCTTGAATATTAGTATCTGTTTTTTCTCAAGTGTTGCAGATTAAGTTTTCCAAAAGCAAAAGGAAGTATTCCTGCCTTTCCATACCACTACCCAGGAGGAGCAAAGCAGAACTAGCCAAAGGACTGCCTTATGATTTGGTATGCTCTTTGTCTCTGGAAAGAGGGGATGGATTTCCAGTCCAGTTAGAGAGCTAAACTGTACCACACCACCTGGCTACAGTGTGAAACCCCTTCAGGACAGAGTTTTGGAAAATGAGATGGCACGTATACTGGACAGGTAAGCCAAACTGCTTGGTTTGATTAAAACTAAGATTTGGTTTAAATTTTTGTGGGATGCAATTTTCTGTACTTGTATTGTTGAGTGCTGCAAATGATGCCTTAGCAAGGGTAATTATCAGCTTCTCCATCTGCCTGCTACAGACAGCAGGAAAGAGCGAGGGGAGATGGAAAGACTATCATGCCCTGCAGGAAAAGGAAGGAAAAAAAAAGGAATTAAGGACATAGAAGGATCTAGGAGCAGGCTGAAAACTACAGGGAGCTGGGAGAAAGCGAAGGAATTTGGAGGCGCTCTGTGAGCCTGTTGGGCTAGTAAGTGCATAAGAAATAACACA